GGGGTCCAATTATTCTCTTTCTGGCCTGTAGATGGGAATTTTCGCGGCCCCAATCAAGCACTTTAGAGACCGATCACCTAAAGTAGTCTGAAAGCGAGCATAGAGTTTCAAAGAATACTTCCTTGTGTTTTTTATTCCTTTTGGTTCCACCGAACCATTGATTGTTTGCTTGACCCCAGACATCACAAAAATTGCACATTTGTTTTCTATCCTTTTAATCAATCACGTACAACCTGTTGTGTGTTGTTTTTAATAATGCATTCATACTCCTATGATTAGCAGTATTTTTCTTGTTTAAAGGCTGGTGGTCTGCCTTTAACCTTGATTAGCAGCCTGGCATGGGCGTAGATTCTGTTTAATAAATCTAAATAGATTATTGTTCAGGGATTTCTTTTCTCCTCGTCTTGCCTGTCATGATAATAATCGTATTCTAAATGGGCCTATTAACAGCTTTGATGATCTTCCGCCGCCCCCTTGTTTCTGTCTTTCTTTTTTCTTTTTGGTACAATTCTCTCATTCTTTAAATTCCTCAGAAATGGTAGATTGATGGATCAACATATATCCCTCTTAGCACGGATATCATAATGGTCGATGGCTCAATTTTTGGCTTATTTCCATGCACCTTTGACAGCCCGGGTAAAACAATCAGGTCCAAGTGCTGCATATGTCTAGTACCTTCTTGTAAGCTCGGGTGGGGTAGCCCGAGCCCAATTGTTGGACACATTCACCTTATTGTGGGCTCTGGTGAGGTCTTGAGCGCATCACTCAAGTCCATCCCCCGAGAAATATGTATTGTTAAGTCTAAATCTCTCTTTTTTCTTTTAAATACTGGGTGGTTTTTTTATTAGTAATGTTTGTATAAGAGATGATATTTTTTATTAATTTTAATTTATATTTGCGTATGAATTATTCTATCCATTAATGATAGTACAAAAAGTATTCTCTCTTATTAATGTTCATTAATAGTCGTGTAAAGAATTTTTTATTTATTATAAATATTATCATGACAAAAATAATCTATAAACTCTCCATTAAAAAGAAAAGAAAAAAAAACAATGACTAGCATTGAAGGGTATAAATATCAATTGAAGTTATGAAGTTAGAGTTTTTCTATTTGTATCTTATTTATTTTTATGTTTTAAAAATATTTAAAAAAATTAAATTTTTTAATTTTTTTACTTTAAATTAATAGTTTTAGTTTTTAAAAATTATTTTGATGCATTGATTTTAAAAATAATTTTTTAAAAAATAAAAAATATTATTTCAATATATTTTTTAAATAAAAAAATTTAAAAAATAATCATAAACATGTTCCCAGACAGATATTTAGCACTGTTGAGTAATGCAATGTAAATCTCAATTTTTTAAAATTATTTTTTTACTAAAAATTTATTTGTTATTTATTTTAAGTTTTTTTGATGTATTAATTTTAAAAATAATTTTAAAAATATAAAAAATATTATTTTAATATAAAAAATACTTTGAAACTCCCAAAAATACCATTCAACTGATCGACGAGCGCCGCACGTTGAGAAATGAATTTTGCGAAGGGTGTGGTTTTGTACTCTCTTTACCGTTGAACTTGAATCGATTTTTATTGTTGTTAAATCACTGCGATGACACGAATCTGATTTTAAACCTGACAGCACGTAGAAGGAAACACGTGCATTGTGCCAATATGGTAAAACGTATTAATTATTAATAATATTTCAGACTGACGCATGGCGACTAATTGCACAAAATTGTATATCGCATGGAGGCAAGCGCTTGACATTTCCCCAGAAACTACCCAGCACTATCCAGACACCATGTGTGCTCTCACTCAGCCCTGTAAGTTTCTGAGCTACCACTTGGCCCAACGGCAAGAACTCTCCGCCGACATTAATTACGGTAACCAGTACTACTCTCCGGGTTTTTCTTCTTGCAACCTTTTCTTTATCGCTGGAATGGAGTGTGCTTGTCTGGTTTCCTGCTTGGCCTCGTGGTGGGGGTGGTTTTTCTTACATTTGTTTGTGCTTTAGAGCATGTTAGAATGCTAGTAAGAGCCAAATCTTGAGCAATTATCAGCGCACATGCCTACACATGATAATCTGATTCTGTTTTGAAGGTTGGATGCATGCGTATGTTCTGATTGACTGACCAGAAAGGCTGGAAGGAGTGCTTGAGGACCCTAAATGATGGTGAAACTCGGTGGATCTTACGGACCCAGTAGAATAGCTATAGCCTATATGGTTCTCTGGTAATTGAATTCATCAGCTGCCCATGAAGCTAGTATTAACATCTCTACTGTTGATGAAGTGTGTTTTTTAACGATAAATGAAATGAATTACCTTTATCAATGCAACTACAGGACGTGTAGTCGGTTTAACTGTATATATTAACAGTTAAGTAGGTTAATACATCATTTTAATTATTAATTGAAACATTTGTTTCGTAGCGAGCTTGGTTAATGAGTGGGGGGATGCATGGTTGACGCTTTCGGTTTGATTCGCTTTGAAAGCAAAATTGCTCACTTTTCTATCTTGTTCTTTTTTTTTCAAAAAAAAAAGGGCGGATAACCCCTTGCAAAAATTCAAAAAAAAAAAAAAAAACCTAGCCCAGGCGAGAAAGCCACTTTCACACCCCGCACTTGAGCTTTTTAACAAACGCATGACTTTTTTATTTGCCATGTATTTTTTTTTTTTACTGATTATCATAATCATTCCGAACTTAGCTGGAGTTACATTAAAGTAATTCTTATATATATATATTAATTTTAAATTTAAATTAAATAAAGAATTGGAAGTAAAGAAACCAAAATTAATTTTTTACATCAAATTTAATAATAATACTAAATAATTCATTACAATATTTATAATTTTTTAATGTCTAGATTTTTTTATTCCCATCGAAAGCGGTAGCACATTCAAATACCCCGAAACAATTACAAACTATACTTTTTCTAATTATTATTAACACAGTAACACATATTTTTATTTTTTTATTTTTATAAAGTAGATATTCGAAAGTCGGGTTCTAGAAAGAAAGGAAACTTAGGACTGGTTGAATTAAAGCCCATTGTCTTCTTTTCTTCATTCTAATTGAGAGTGGAAACAAACAAGAGATTTCCAGGGAAAAAGAAAATTCCATACTTATCTGAAGATGCTGGATCCACCGTGCCTTTATCGGGGTGTTAACTAGTGCCTTTTACAGTTCAAATAGCATGTTTTGAATATAACAGGTGGTTTTTCGCTGGGATGGTACTATACATTTGATCATGAGTATGCTAGGATGTATGTCTTCGGGAGAGAGATTATTTATGTTTTCAAGTATTTTTTTAAATATGTCTTTTTTATTTTTTAATGATTTTGGTTCGTGATATTAAAAAAAACCTAAAAAAATATTATTATATATTTTAAAGTAAAAATATTTTTAAAATGATAGCAAGGAGAAAATTCACTCTGTGCTTACTAGTTGCAACTTGCCTAAAAGTGTGAACGTTACAAGGTCTACATTTTACGTGTATCACGTAATTCAAAAAAAAAAAAGAAGCGAAATTTCTACTCAAGCGTTAATTCGTGTCAAACTTTGCACGCTTCAGGGTCGGGGTCCAGGCATTGGAAGTGGTTCGACGGAGGAAATTATATTAAAGAACAACTTGAAGAGATGAGTGTTTTAGTGTAGCTAGTGTATAGTAAAATGACAATTTTTATTTCCGTAATAACAATTAATGGATTAAATATTATGGGTTAAAATAATTTTTTATTTGAATTTGATTCATATTTTTTAAATTTTTGTTTGTTTTATTTGAGATAATTTATAAAATTAAAATTGTTTTTATTTATTTATTATATCTGATATCAATTTTTTATTAATGTTTTTTTGGTTTATTTTATTTTTAATTTTATCTCCTATTATATTATTTATTTATTATATTTGATATCTATTTTTATCATTATTTTTGGTTTATTTTATTTTTAATTTTATCTCCTATTATATTATTTTTTTTAATTTTTATATTGAATATCATCTATTTTTTTTTATTTGATTTTATTTTGTATTTCATCCCTTGCGGAAGGTGTTGTGCTGGCTTTTCTTTTCATCTTGGGTTCGGGTAAAGAGAACATGGTACGTCTGACAACACAGGAAGCAATGGCGAAATGCAATGGACTCATGCTTATGAGATGGGTTGATTCGGCCAAGAGGCTGAGTTCTAGATAAAAGCGAAGAATAATACAATTCACGTACCTTGAGGCCACACTTGTACTTCATTTACCCTTTAATTTTGACCCCTGAACTTGAACCACAGTTCTAGCTAGCACCCGGAAAAATTTATTCCACCTCTTATGAAATATGTCCTTTGATGATTAATTTTTTGGTTGGTTTATATAATCACTTTGTTTTTTTTAAGAGCAAAAACAAATATGCTACGCCAAGCTGGTGATTGTTGGTTGTTGTTGGTTGTTGCTGTTAGGTTTTAGATTGATCTGGAAACATCCACCCACGTCAGGAGGCTTGGTGTTTGTAATCTAGTTTTTTGGGTTTTTTTTTCTCTTAAAAATATAGCTGTTGGATATTTTTCGAGCGGAGCTTCTTCGAACCCGGCCGTGATCGGAATCCCGGATCAACCCATCACTCCGGTACAATAACTATGCAATTGAATAGTACTTACTACCAGTTTATACACGGATAGTTTTTAACCGTGCATCTAAACGAGATGCTGATGCTGATACCTCCTAATCAAACACAAGAAAAAAGAAAAAGAAGGGACACCACACGGCGCGAGGTCATTGTGACAGAACAAAGAGAACCAAGAACATACACGTAGGCCCCCCTCAACATAGGACCAGACCACCAGCCTAAACCAGGTTGGGTCCTTTCTGGTTAAGTTTTAATCATGCACATGAGTTTATGACCGTTGTGAAACTAAAACTACACTTCAGTCACATACGTGACAAGTACTCCAGCTTCCTCTCTTCCCTATAAACACACTTCCATTTACATGGAGATGTAGTATTAAAATAACTGTCTTAATACGAAAGCGATTAAAAAAAGCGTAAAAATACAGACACCCCCACTACCCCACCGTCACTCCTCATTTTGTTGTCTAGAAATCTCCATCCCCCAACACCCCTTCCTCCCACTAAATTCACTCTCTCTCTCCCCCTCTCTTCTAACAGTCACTGCCTTTCATCTTAGAAGTTCTATCCTCTCTAAAATACATCTGTGTCTCATATTTTAGCACACGAACTTGCATCATTCATGGCTGTTTTAGTGTTTTTAGGTCTTTTCTTGGCCCTCACTGGCCATTCAAGTAAGTCGATTGGATTCTTGTGTTTTTGCTTTCCTTCTTTTCCAATCTTTTGGATGAAAAAGTTCAAGGACTTCATAAATGGAATGCTCATTTTTTAGACAGGGTCTTTTTAATCTTTTAAAGTGATCTCCTATCTTGTTTTCTCGGTTCTTCTACCAGTTCAGCTGAAAGAAAAGAGTTTTTGTATTTTCTCCCCCTAGAATTTTCCTTTCTTTCTATATTTTTTTATCACTCCAGGGAAAATTTAGCTTAAATCCATGATGATCTGTAGACTAGTGACGATCCCCCAGTGTTTCTTTTAATTCGTCGATTTATTTTGGAACTCCTCCTTTTCTTTAAATTTCTAGTTATCTTCAGAAGAAAAAGGGTGTGGTTTTTTGTGAACTAACAGTTTTGTTGGTTTTTCATTTTCTGCTGTAGGTGCTACTTACTGCATATGCAAGGATGGGGTTGGTGACACACAGCTGCAAAAGACCCTGGATTATGCTTGTGGAGCCGGAGCTGACTGTACCCAAATCGTTCAAAATGGCCCTTGTTACCAGCCCAACACTGTAAAAGATCACTGCAGCTATGCTGTTAACAGCTACTTCCAGAAGAAGGGCCAAGCTGTTGGGAGCTGTGATTTTTCAGGAACTGCCATGACTAGTGCCACTCCTCCTCAAAGTAAGTGAAGTCCCACAATCCAGCCATCTCTTATCCAACTATCTGTTGGTGGCACTGACTCGCTCCTTGTTTCGTATGTTTCTGTAATATGCAGATGTAGCCTCTGGGTGTACATATCCTGCATCTGCAACTCCAAGGTATTGCTTTCAAAAAAAAAAAACTCGGTGATTTTGACATCCTGTGTTGGTGATTTCTCTGTCAATTTTGGATCTTTCCAGATTTTATTTTGCTACGGTGTTTAGATGAAACTTTTACTGTGCGGGGAGTGTGAATCTGGTTTAAAGCTTCGGATACCTTTTTTTTTTTTTTTTGTCCTTCAGAGACCTTTTACTAAAGTTAATTTTTCTTGCGACTGGGAATCAATAAGCTGATGAATCCTGGTGCTGTTAATCATGAATCTAGCCTCCAGCTGTCTCTTTCTCTTTCTGACTTTCTGCACTTGCGTGTCAACCTTGTACGATCCCCATGGTAGATTTGAACTGTGTTTTCTTGCACAAGCAGTATCAGAAAAATATCGTTTCTTTAATGTTGGCGTTAGAGAAAGTTTTGGACGGTGGTTAAGAAAAAGTAGATCTATCATTCACGCTTTAACATCTTGCATTCACATATCTTTATAGGTCAGGGGCTGCATTGTCCTTGCAGTTTGAGCTGTGTCCTGATGTCGATATTTCATCCTTCCCCAAGATTTTGATTCTAAATCTCTCAGCTTGGCATATGTTTTCCACATGTTAAGTGCAGATGAGGCAACATTTGTGCAGATTATATTTTTCCGAAGTTTGGTATAATCATTTTCTGGTTTCTCCTTTTGTTTTTACAGCACAGGAACAGGCAACACCCCAACAACCACCACTCCAAGCACAGGCACAACACCCACCGGCACCGGCACAGGCACAACACCCACCCGCACCGGCACCGGCACCGGCACAACACCCACCGGCACCGGCACCGGCACAACACCTACCGGCACAGGCACCGGCACCGGAACCGGCACAGGCACAGGCACAGGCACCGGCACAGGATCTATAATTCCTACTCCGCCTTCATCAGTGTTCAACTCAGGATTGGGCCCAACTGGCTTCAATGATAATAGTAGTGAGGCTCCTGCTTTTAAGGGCACTAACTTGTGGTTCATTGTATCTTTGACCCTCTTGTCTTCAGGCATATTTTTGTTGTGGGGTTGACGGTGAGAAGCTAAAACGGGGGCAAGGCGGTGGGGGTGGGTGGGGGTTTGATGTGTAGATGATTTCATTTTGCAACGGAAGGTTGGGTAGGCATGTAATTTTACGTTGGGATTGTGGGGGATTGTGGGGGTCATCTAGAGCCAAACCTCACTAGGGTTTTTTGGCGCTTTCCCCTCCACCTATGTGAAAAAGCTAGGAATTTGATTCCTATCGAGTGGATGATATGTCTGCTGTGTTGGGGAACCTGATCTCTTCTTTTTAGAATTTCTCCTTTTGTATATCTAGAGAGAGGTTGTAGTATTTTTTTTTATATTAATCTAATGAAAAGTTGGCCCATCCACCACCCCCAGTTTGAGGCAGTGGTTATGTATTTTCAGGCAGTGTTTTAAAGTCCCAATTGTTTCTGTGTTTTAAAGTTTTTTTGTTTTTAAATCTAATTTTTTTATTTTTTTTATGTGTTGATGTAAAAAAAATTATTTGAAAAGTAAGGTAGTATATTGTCAAACAATTTATTCTTGAAAAGATTTAAAAAGATTTATATTTTTTAAATTGATATGTTTTAAATAAGATATAAAAATTAATTTTTTAAAAATAAAAATTATTATTTTAATGTAAAAGGTATTTTGAAAAGTAGATTCAACATAAACATCTTTTTTAATCCATTCCTATTTAATTGTTCTTGCTCACTGCTTATCCGGTGTTGCCTTTCTTCGAAATTGTTGCGATGCGATTAAAGTGCAGCATGGGGGTGCAATTAGGGTGTCCTTTTACCATCAATGGCAACATTTTTGTTTTCTCTGGGCAACCATCAATGGCATCATTTTTGTTTTCTCTGGGCAATGCTATCATGGTCATTGGGTGGGGAGGCTTTTACATTGGTCGGTATACGGGAAGGAATTTCCTTGTGAACTACTGGTAGAGCAGGCTTTGCTTAATAAAAACTATGGTATAGATTGGGAAGGAATTTCCTTGTGAACTACTGCTAGAACAGGCTTTGCTTAATAAAAACTATGGTGTAGATTTTAGCGGGGGGTGGTGTCAAAATGTATAACGAAGAAGAATTTGCAACTTTGCTAGCCAAGAAATTCGACAATCAATGTCGTAGGAGAGAGCACGACATTTGAGCCGCCTACCAACTCGGAGACGCATCACAGTATGTTTCTTGACGATGATATTTTTAGCTGGATCAATGATTTTCACATAAGTTTTGTCGATGATGCCAGGCCAGTATAAAGGAAGCAGTGCGAAATTACTAGCAGCATCCTGGACGTGTAACATCACAAAATTGTATGAGCCATCCATATCAAATGAGTGGTTCCGCGTAGTAGTTTTTGCTCATGCAATTTGTAGCAGAGATGGGGGTAGCTTTTCCATCCGTGCCTATCGTGTTATATTTTACTACATGGACATGGCTGAAGTAAAGTTTGCCTTGTCCTCCAAAAAACTGGCTCTTCTGTTCATGATTTATTTGTCCTGGAGCATAACTGCTTGGAGAGACGAAATCAAGATACTCAGCGGGATATCGGTAAAACTACAAATATTGTTAATCAAGAAAAAGAATATGTGATACAAACAAGATATATTTGGACAAGAAAAACCCGTAATCGAAAACCTACTTTATATTTTTTATATCAACTGCTTTTCCGCAGTCAGGAATGATATGAATATCTTCGTTGAGGTGGTGAATGTGTATACAAGGATGTGAGAGCTAAGTCTATTCTTTCCTGTTTTGTTGATTGACATATTGACATTAAACTTTTCAATCTAGTTAACGACAACGATGTGTGGTTTTGTATGAGATTCTCCATTCAATAACTACGTTGAAAATCTTAGATCAACCTCCAACATCGCAGCAAGATTCCCATTTCCACGTCCACAAATTAATATGCTGAGTTACGGATTTACTCTAACACCAAAATACTTTGCAAATTGAAACAACGAGCAACATATTCATAGATACAAAATGGCATTGAGTTCATCTACGTCTTCTTGTTCCGGGAGTGTGTTGATTGTAGGCAACAAAACTTGAAGATTATCCCCTGACCTCTTATATGTTCTTACTCTCCCTGCTTCAAATTGCTTTGAATGTTTGGTGGAAGCACAGATCTCTTCCAAAATTTAATACTAATTGTGATTGGATTCAAACCTGAGAAACAATTTGAGCTTCTTTATTGCTATCTTCTCCCAAAAAATCCAGAATCAAATTGGCAACAGAGTTGGGCTTTTCCACATGAGGAATGTGGCCACAATCTGGAATTTGGCGTATGATAGCATCTGGCAGTTCACAGTGCAACCTCTGCATGATGTGATTTAAAGAGCCGCGTGAGTTAATGAGTTTGTTTCCCATTGAATCGATTGGACAACATGGTAGAGAAATTCATTTAGCAGAAAGTCAAGTTAGTTGTGAGCATCCAAAAAGTTTCACACCGGAAGTTTTGTGAAAGGCCAAGGACAGATTTTTACAAATGTGTTGCACGCTTTGTTTCAAGTTCATCAATCGTATCAATGCACAGGAAGATGTTCAGCAAGTACTAACCACGGCCAGCTTGTTGCTAATGATTTGATCATCCTCACCCCAAATGATAAGGGTCTTCTGCTTGACCTGCATAAGAAATTTGTTAAGCATTTTTAGGAAATTGCTTGGAAGTCAGGACAATTTGATGCACGAACCAAAAGCACAGATTGAAGACTTCAAGGAGTTAATTGCATTCGTCCAGCCTGACACCCCAGTCCAAAAGTGCTAGTTACACGGATTCGACATTCCATGGCACCCTTTTATGCTAATTGGCAAGATCAAAGCATTTATTTACTTCATGACACATTAACAAGTACCTTTTTTATCTGGGCACTGACATTATAACCACCACAATTCATAAAATTTACAGTTGCATCCTCCCACCAAGGATATAGACAATGCAATCTGCCCACCTGGTTACATTCACAACAAATAATAATTAAATCCAATATGACTCTAGCAAAACTTTGTGATGGCAAATATATTTGTATAGTGAAACAACAATAGTATGATAAGTTTCGTTTCTGGAAAGAAACCCTCACGTTCATCCAGTCTATGCTGGTGTTTAATGGTAGACTATTGAATGCGATAAGATTAACATATAAGCGCAAGGGGGTGCTCTTCAGTAGATAAACCTGGTTCAAAGGAGTGCTTATGGTTACAGAAGCAATATATACAATTAACAAAAAATGAAAGAGGGGGGCACAAATATCATGCAACAAAAGAAGAGTGTGTTGGAGGAGGAAGGAACATGTGGGTGGCATGATGTTACTCACTGTCTCAAACATGTTCACAGCCCACACATCTATGGAATAGGACTGGAAGAAAAAGGAAAAAGCTTCTGCTCATTTTTGTTCCAGGAATCATCTGCAGATGGGACTTCTCATCAAGCCTACTGGGCTCTGATAAGTTTTCATGTGAAACTGGTTGTTGAGCTAACAAAATATAGAGGCTCTTGCTCAGTATTTTACTTATCCTATCACTGAGGGGGCCGTACTTGAACTTTTATCGTATATCAAAACTAAAATCTCTCTACTTATTCAAGAAGCACCAAGATTGACTTCAGACTGTAAATTCTATGTGGTGAAAATTGCATCAGTTAAATTGAAGAATGTCAGGACCAAGAACAAATCCTAGAGAACTTCTGTTGAGTCATCGATGCAATAAAGCGAAAATATCATGTATAATCAGTGGAGATGACCCCAGATAGAATTGAGTGGAAAAGAATTAACATAGACAACAAATATTGAGCATTCAAGACATTGTTCAGTTGAGTGGAAGACTTACCCCAGCATATGCTATAGCTCTAGGTAACTTTGCAAGGTTCCCTGTGTCTTCAGCATATACACTCGCGTCAATCAACACCAACTTTTCTACCTGAAAATAGAGCTAAACATTTGAGTTTCATGGCACAAATAGATGCAGTAACTTTGGCTACTGCCAGTAAAAGATGTATAATGATTGGCTAGTAACTTCTTGTGAATAGATGGACGGCACATGTGTAGGTGCTCAGTTACCGAGAACTACTTACTGCTTCAGGATGATTGACAGCAAAGTCAATTGCAACGGCAGCACCAAGGCTTGGTCCAATCAATATGATGGGTCTTCTGATATAGGATTTCCAGAGCTGCGGTTAAAATGAGATGACCCAAATTAGTTTTAGCGTAATGGATACAATCACTAAATTCTGCAAATACTGGTTTCTGCAACCTAACTAAGGAAGCCTCTAACTGATCCTTCCATCCTGAAAGAGGAAATGACAGGCACGGATAGATTGAAAATTTCATAATAGAGCAGAAAGAGGCTGCGGATTGAACATAAGTGAACTTGATAGTTGAAGTACCTGATACAAGTGATCACGCTTAGATGCAACATCACATGATGGAAGTCTCTCTGGCAAGCACACAAAAAAACAGGAGATATTACAATCATGGTATGGGAGGTTGGGAAAAAGAAAGAAAGAATAACAAGCTAGAACTTCCATAATTAGAAAAAGGAGGCAAGAGATGCAAAACAAACCCAAATCAGAGAAACCCCAACCAAGAACATCGACAGCCCAAGTCTCTATACCAGCCTCCTCTAGCAGTGGAAATGTGTATCTCCATTCTAAACAGGAACTGAATTATAACATGTAGTGAACTTTAAAGGCCACATATTCTCAAAACAATGTTACTGAGTATATCATGTACCTGTCAAAACCATGGAGGAGAACCACTGGACTTCCCTCACTCTGTATCAAAGGCTTCACACAACTACTCATGATGCTTCTGTCTGCAAACCCCACCTGCATTGTCAGTGGATAATATGCAGTTGGGATGTCTTGGAAATTCGAAGCAAGCGAAAGCGTTACAAAATTTTGATATCGAAAGGTGTGTTCTTGCTAACAATAAATCAACAAAACCTCAAAAATCAGGATTTTTTTTTTTTTGGAATTTGCTATTAAAAATAAGAAAAGGCCATTTTCCCAGCAAGCATAATATTCACAATTAAGTAGCCACACAACAATTTATCAAACAAACAAGCAAAGAGAGAGGGTATCAAATACATAGTGAAAGTGAGAATTACGCTTACTGGCAGCCTCTCAATTCTGGTAGCAAGCCTTCTTGCAAAAGGGTCTTTGATATTCTCAACCTCTTTGGGTAGAAAAGAAGGGAAATTGCTACCCTGAACTGTAAAGAGTTTCACATGGGCTCTGCGTTTTGCAGGCACTAATGCAGGGCTGGCTGTGAGGGTGAGCATCTCTGTCACCCACAGGTTGAACTCGTATTGCTGGTTGCTTGCTGCTCACCTTATCCTTCTGTCAAACCGTGAAGAAGGAAGAGCTTCATATTCGTGTGGCCTTAATTGTGAAACCGTTGATCTATATATATAAGCAAGTAATAATTATTACAGTGGTTATTTGGGATATTTTAACCAGATCGGAATCATCATTCATTTATGGTAATCATTCAGAATCACCTTCTAACACAAGAAATCTGAATTCTAGCAGTTACTATACCTGTGACCCGCGGCCAATTTTTTTTTTTTAACATAAAACATGAATTTTAAGGCAATGATATTACACGGATGAGACTGAGCACACCTGATCAATGAAAAGTTCTGACACCAATCATTTACAAATGAGAATTACACCAAGAATTGACAAGCGGATGAGTTCTCTAGTTGGCTATGTTGATATAGCTTAGATAGGGAAAAGAGACTGATTTTCTTTGTGAAGAAACAAGAAAAATTCCATGCTTGAGTTATTAATTTAATTAAATTGAATAAAACCAAGTAATTTAATAATTTGATTTAAATTATTAGCAATAATTGTAAATGAATTGTACAAAAAAAATATTTGCTAACAATCAACTAAAATAAATAAGCCGTTAATATTATATCTGAAAAGAAAAACATAGTCGGAGATTCATCGTCATTTTACTGTTGATAATGTTCACAGCCAAAAAAACCTTGTTAAAAGCTAAAACAGTACAAACCCCACTGAAAAAAATTACTGGCGATATTAAAAAAAACCGCATGAGTCATAAGAGCAAGCGGGTGATCTGCTACTTTTTCCTTACATCGATTATCAAGCCAGTGCGGCAACCAGAGTGTTAGGTCTCGACTATGCTGTGCTCATTTGGGACTGATCATCTCGGCATT